CCAATGGCAACGACAAGCTGGTGGACCTCCTGGGTATGGGAGAACCGCTGAGAGAGGAGGACAAAACGCTGCCCGAGGGCGAAAGATTTATGGGACACGCTGGGATGTCGAGAGTAGCGCGTAACATTGCTAGACGTCTGATTGACGAGCAGTGGGTTGAGGAGGCCAGACGACGATTTCCTGACTATCCGTTTGTCATCGCTGGACACAGCCTGGGCGCCGGTATAACCTCCCTACTTTCTGTGCTCGTGAAGCCACGCTATCCTGATATGAAAGCCTACGCCTACGCTCCTCCTGGTTGTTGTATGAAGTAAGTATCCACATTTTCTAGGATTCACTGTGTGTTTAAAGCAGAGCTACTAGCCGGTATTCTGCCGTATTCACCACGCAGCTGCATAAGGTTGGGCACACTATGGATCTCTCCCTCCCGAAGCTTTCCTCTTTGTGCTTTCTGTTAAATATGTAGTTTTTGTATTCAAATTTTAGCCTTTTATCTCCTCAGAACTCACTGCTAAGGCCTCTATTAAATTCTTCGTAAGGAAGCTTTATAGATTCTGGCTAAAAATTAAGATGAAATATTTCCGCCAGAATCTGTCAGCCTCAGCAGATGACCACGAAATATTCCCAGTCTGTTAACAGCTGGTCATTGATGCATGCATATTTTATGATTCGGCAACCAGACAACGTAGGTACTAGTTAATATTCAACAACCGTGGTTAGCCTACGTTTCGCCACTTTCAGGCAACTATACGGGGCCCTTAGTTTGGCAATGTGTCTTCAGCGTTTGCTACGTGCTCTCAAGTGAATACTCTTGTTTTTACACTTTATCCAGTGTTTTTCCCCAGGGGCTTGACAAATAAGTGTATCGACCAGGGAACATTTAACGCTGGTATACCTCGGCACTTGCACATAGGTGACTTCTTACCCTGACGAGGAATGCCTACATGGACCTGGAAACTCAGACAAACAAAAAGCTTCTTTTGGCACTCAAGCAGGTGTCTGTTGTAACCTCTATTCACACACTTCGGGTGTATAGATGACAGAACCGCAGATGTGGGGCATTTTACCATAAGTTTAATAGACTAGTTTATCTGACTAAAATGATAATGAACTGAACCACTAGGTCACGACCATAAATTCTTCGTGGCATAAAACAGCGCACCAATTATGAAAGCTATTACCAGCATTATAGCCTGTTTTCAAGACAGTGGATATACTTTGTGTATCCACAAGTGCCATGTTTACTACTGCACTAAATACTAAATACTAATTTTTATTGCTGAGGAGTAGAAAAGTCTTAATTCCACCATTCGACTATTTCAAAACTAATCTACGGACTTATAAAATAAAGACAAAGAACGGTTGATTATTGATTTTGTTCGAATAGTAAATTAATTTATTGACACGACTTCGACTTGCTCCTGCATTACAGTAGATTTCATATCTGATGCAAGGTTGAGGATTGGAGAATTTAAAGCACACTTGAGGTTGTTTAGTTAGTTCATTGGGATGAATTGGGTCGCAAAATGTTGTTTACTAGAATTTAATTACGTTCAGGTCAG